AATTTTCGAAAAAATTTTCGACTAAAAATAATTTTGCCATTTCTTACTTTAGTTATTATCATTGTATTGAGCAAAAGTTTCAAAAATGTGCTATTTTAATGCAATTTTTTATTATTAAATTAGAGTTTAGATTATTGATTAAAAATTATATCGAAAAATTGTCATAAAAAATTTTGCTTTTATTTTTGTAATAAAAAATATTTTAGCTAAATGAAACATCAATGATAATAAGTTTTGGACCATTTGGAATATTTATACCACAATTTTATTTTCTTCAAAATCTCTTCTTTTCATGCTGTCCGCTGGAAACAACAATAGCTTATACAAAAATACTTCAACGTGCTGCTCAAAAAAAGATTTTATGCTCAAAAGTAATACTTTTAATAAAAATAAATTCTTATAAAAAAAGTTAATTTTGATTAATAATGAAAAATTATTGCAAAAGTCAAAAATTATTTCTTAAGATTTAAAAAATTAGATTTTTAAAATAAGATTTTAAAATTGATTAGTTCACTAATTTTCAGGTCTCAACTACAACAGCTTTAATTATTACTTTTACGTCATTCGTATTCGCTGCTTTATGTACTTCGTTAGCGATTTCCTTTCGACAAGTGTTACGTTAGATAGTAAACGTAATTTTGTTTTTATTTTCCTTGCAAAATTTTTAAACGTTACTAATTTTCAACTCAGTAAATTATTTAAAGCTGACATTTGCTTTTTAAAAAAATTTGTTCGTTTTCAAGTTTAAATTTGCTTTAATAAATACGATTTAGTATTATGAGTATAGTAGCTTTATCTAAAATTGCTGCGTAGCTTACAGCTTGTGATATCACTTTAAAATCTCTTTTTGTAAGCCTTCCATATTCAGTTGGAGTGTTTTTTAACAATAAAATAAGGTCAAAGTTCATTAAAAAGAAATGTTGTTGTTCATTATGAGTGAAAATGGTAATTATTCAAGCTCGTTGTATTAACATTTACATTATATGAAATTTGAAACAAATGACTGAGCTCATTCAAATTTAATTAGTTGAACTCTTTTTTTAATATCTTACTACTTATTGTCCTAATAATTCAAAATTTTAATTTTGTTTGATTTTTTTAAAAAGAATAAAACTTAATATGCATGAATAAAATTTCAGTGACCAATGAGATGTAATGTGAAAAAGTTTAGTAATGATAAAATTGTAGCACATTAGACATGCAATTTTTGAACGAAAAGACAAAAAATTAATTCAAATTATTTTATTCAGCGTGGTATAAGCATCTGTGGACAGTAATCAGAGAGTCATATGAAGAAGTTATCATAACAAACCATAAAAATCACTGATAATTTCAAATGATAAAAATTATAATAAAAGAGGCAAGCATCCTTATTGAATAAGCAAATATATACCAACAGTGACCATCTGACCAACTGAACAATATAAATGCACGATGGAAAAAAAGCAAAAATAGAAAAATTTAGAAGCATTTGCGATGTACGATTGATGGGCCAGATTCGTCGTATTCTTGCTTTGAAATCCACATCTGAAAGTTATTAATCCATCAATAATTAATCCTTAATACAATTGTTAAACTTAATTTACAATAATTTTATTTTATAAAATTTATCAAACTTGATTTTTGTGAAAAAGTTAAAATTTAAACCTGCTGGAAGGTAGAAAGTGATGCTAAGATGGAACCACCAATCCATACGGAATATTTGCGCTCAGGTGGAGCAATGATTTTGATTTTCATTGTGCTTGGTGCTAAGGCTGTTACTTCTTTCTAGAATTAAAACTCTATATTTTATAGTCAACTTGAAATTGCTTTATAAATATTGGCATATAAAAATAATTATTTGTAATAAAAACTTCTTTGAATCTGAAAACCATGATCAAAAAGAATTATTAATTGGTATATTTACCTGCATTCTATCAGCGATTCCAGGGTACATTGTTGTGCCACCAGACAAGACAATATTAGCGTATAAATCTTTTCTGATGTCAATATCACATTTCATGATGCTGTTGTATGTTGATTCATGAATACCAGCAGATTCCATTCCCAGGAATGATGGCTAGAATTGAGCAATTTAATTCATGAGAAAATACTTATTAAAAAACAAATGAAAAAATTTTCTACAATAAAAAAATTTTGGTAAATATAAAGTTTACCTGGAAGAGAGATTCTGGGCATCGGAATCTTTCATTGCCAACAGTAATAACTTGACCATCAGGCAGTTCATAAGATTTTTCAAGGGATGAAGAAGATGCGGCGGTAGCCATTTCTTGCTCAAAATCGAGAGCAACATAGCACAGTTTCTCCTTGATGTCACGGACAATTTCACGTTCAGCAGTGGTCGTGAATGAGTAACCACGCTCAGTTAGAATCTTCATCAAGTAGTCAGTCAAGTCACGTCCAGCAAGATCCAAACGCAGGATAGCGTGAGGCAAAGCGTAACCTGAAATCAACCTTCTCAGTGTATGTGCAAAACAACTGAATACTTTTTGATGAATTCGAAAGAGCCTCAGCTGAACAAATAGCATAATCAATTGCTTGCATAGAGATCTTTTCGGATATCCATATCACACTTCATGATAGTTATAATACTAGCTGACCTTCATAGATTGGAACAGTATGAGTAACGCCATCTCCCGAGTCGAGAACGATACCGGTAGTACGACCAGAAGCGTAGAGGGAAAGCACAGCTTGGATGGCAACGTACATGGCTGGAGTGTTGAAGGTTTCGAACATGATCTGCGTCATCTTCTCCCTATTGGCCTTAGGATTCAGAGGGGCTTCTGTAAGCAGAACTGGATGTTCTTCTGGCGCTACTCGCAGTTCGTTGTAGAATGTGTGATGCCAGATTTTCTCCATGTCATCCCAATTTGTTACAATGCCGTGCTCAATCGGGTATTTGAGCGTCAAGATACCTCTTTTCGATTGTGCTTCATCTCCTACGTACGAATCCTTTTGACCCATACCCACCATCACACCCTAAATACTCATTTCTCAAGTTGTTAATCAATAATTTTCGTATCAATCAATACTGCTGAGATATATTCCCATGTCTTACCTGATGCCTTGGTCGTCCCACAATGGATGGAAAAACTGCTCGTGGTGCGTCGTCACCAGCGAATCCTGCCTTACACATCCCCGATCCATTGTCCACCACTAATGCTGCTACTTCTTCGTCGCACATTTTGTTTATAAGTTAGCGACTTGTAAGAGAATGAATTATTCACTGCAAAACGTCTTATCGTAAAATTTAATATATAAAAAAGTTTAAAGCGCAAAACGATCTAAGAGAGTGGACGTGTATAGAAAAAAAGTTGTAATAAATAAAGCAATTGTTATCTGTAGGAGAAATTCAAGAATTTCTTGAAGTATTAACTTCTGTTTAGAGAGGCTTCTATTACAGCTAAAAAAAACTAAGCTACTTTATTGTACAATTTTATCTCTAACTAAAATTCAATTTTTCATTCAACCTTTTTTTGAATGTTAAAATTAAATATCACAAATTATTTGCGTATAAAAATCAAAAAAAAATTCAAATTAATTATTCATTTTGATAATTTTTTTTAACCAATAAATTTTAATAAAAATACAATAATGTTTTTGTTGTCTTCCATAAGTTTTCTGCATACAGTACTTGTAAACAGACTAAACTTACGCTTTTTATAAATAATTTGCTTATACAAGAATAAAACAGTAAATGAGTGCATACAACTCTTAATATTGCTGCTACATCTAATTATTACGATTAATAAAAAAGAACAAAATATCATTTGAATATCACAGATTTATTTGTAAAACAAAGTAACTGGATTTGTAATGAATTTTTTGTCAGTTATATATGTAAGTTGAGTAAAAATTATGTAATGTTTGGTTTTTATAGAAATAATGATAATAATAATAATAATAATAATAATAATAAATTAGTAAATTGATAAATAATAAAAGTGAATAAGAACGATCATAGAGTAGAGAGTATGAACAGAAGCAACCGTTTGCAGTCAATGTTTAAACGAGAGTGACATATAGTAAGAACAGACGCAACCGTTTCTAATCAATGTTTATCGTAGCAAAATTTGCATAAATGTGAAAGATGATTAGGCTGAGATTAATGAATAATGTGCGCAACTGCTTAACCAACAACTGCCTTCTGTTAATACTTTCCTGCAAATAAATGCATTCTCAACAATAATGCATTACTTTTATACACGTCTAAAGTGTGTAACTCTTTTTTCGCGTGGGTGTATGTCTGAGTATATATGTAAGTATCTACGAATGTATGTAGGAGTGTGCGTGCATACATGGTGGTATACTGTGTTATGCTAAGCAATAAACTACCGCCCCAGTTAGACTGAGAATTGCAGTCGAGACTGACTGTTTCTTGGAATTGCTTACTTCTAAGAATTGCGCAGCCCTGCCTTCCATCTGTTTCTTCTGTGCACACTTCTTGGAATGTCAACATTTCTTAGCTTAAACTTTGTTTTTTACATTTTATTTAAAATTGCTAAAATTATGAGCACTCATCCAGACATTCATATGTAAATACAATACACGCACATGTGAATATAAAAACACAAAAATTCACATATGATACAAGTAAATATAAACTGAGATTATTTTTGTGCACAAATTCAGTCTAATGTTCAAATCAGTGATTTCAGTTTTTTATCACACCAAAGCTAACATCGAACTTTGCCAATTTTGCTTCCACTATAAACACTAATTTATATTAGCTAATGATAGTAGCTAAGAAGGTGATTTCTTTCTAAATCGGTGTTTTGAGAAGTATTTCGTTTTACTCTCTTAAAAAGTAAGTAATTCATTAATTTTATCACAAGAACAAACTAAAACTTGTTGGCATTGCAATTAATTGAAATTAAATTCGAAAATTATAATGAATCAGTTCTGTAATTACATTGATCTTAATGAGTGATTGTAATCCAACAACTTTACTTTTGTCAATGATGTAAAGAAGTAAGACCAATGTAGTAGATTATTTGCATTATTATTTTTTAAATTAATTAATTAATTACTTAATGTTCTTCTGTATTTATCAGCATTTTTCACTGCAATTAAATCATAATAAAATCAAAAATTGAATTAAATAAAGTTTAAAGCATCAGCCGTGTATTACTACTGCTGTAATTTTTGTTCCTCTCCATGCCGTAATAGTTTTTTTCAAGAATGTAAAGCTAGTTCTTAGCTAGATTTTTTGTATCCAGTCATTTGTGTTTTGCTTTCAAAAAATACATTTGCTCTATTATTTTTATTTTAATAAAAAATGATTGACTAATTTTTTTGATCCTAAAAATTAGACAACTATGCTTAAATTTATATATAACTGAGTAGTATGTCAAGTTTTTAAGCACATATTTATTATGGATAAAAAAATTTTTCTTAAACATTATGCATATTACAAAGTAATCTTCAACGAAACTTTCATCAACTTCTTTAAAAACTAGCATTTACATAGTACCAACATCTGCTAGCCATAATTCTAGCAAAATCTCATTTATTATCTTTTCATATTTTTTGAAGTGTAAAATAAAACGTTAAAAAGAACATCTACCTCACAAATAGCTATAGCTAAACATTAGTCTAGTACATTATATTCCTTTGCTTACTTACTTACTTCAATTATTTGTTTATATTTCAATTCTAAGATCTCAATCTTACGTTATCATTATTACAACTGTTGTATAATTTCTTTTCTTCATAATAAGAATATAACGTAGATGAAAAGTGAAAAAATAAAAGACTTCTCATTATATATATTACTTATTTAAATATTCATTTTTTAAATACTATTATTCAAAATTTTGGAATATTAGCACATATAAGCAAAAAATACCGTTACGACAGTAATACTTTCTTGTATAATTTAAACAAAATGCGTATAAAACTTGAGATGTTACGTGGAAAATTTTCCATCTTATTCTGTACAATAAACGAAAATATGTCAGATTTTGTTGTATAGCTGTGATTGCTAGCGGAAAGAAGAAATTCTTGAGAAAAATAAAAGTTGATATTTCGAGAGTGAGTGCTACTATCTGATGCTATTAAACATGGTACATACACACACACACACACACACACATATCTAGTTTGCTTGTAATTCCAAGAATTACAAACATTTACTTCAAAACTTTTCTTCATCTTTCTAATCTTCGTTTTTATATGAACAATTCGAGTTTAACAAGATAACACATATATACATATTACAATACATACACCAAAACAGATTTGATATATTCAATAATAATGCAAAAATAAAAGTGATACATGAAATTAAACCAGGAATAGATAGTTTATCAAAACATACAATTGACTGAATATTTCTTACAAAAAAAAAATTAATGAAACAAATAATCACTACTCACACACTACACCATAATTTGCTTGCACGCAAACTACAGCTAAACCTTTCCACGTCATGTTTTGAACCTGAAGTACACGACTGTCCGATATTCCATTATTTAAAATGGACCAAAACATCAACTTCACTTCCAGTACTATCCTGAATGTTCATCGAATCATCTTCTAATTCTCAACTTTCATCAACCTCAGATTATTTATAGATTGTCAATTTTGTACACATCTTGTAAGCAAACAATTTATAACCCTTCTTTAATTATATCATACAAAAATTATCATCTACATGTATGCTACATCATACGTGACTCTTTTCCTTCGCAATATTAATTGCAGAGAATAAATTATTCAAGAAAGACACTACAACAATAACGCTAACTAAAACCATGAGAGTATAATGAAAAACATAAATCAAATTTATTGCAAAATAATGGACCAAAAATAGTGAGACTTTGAGCAAATACAAGTATAAAAATGATTTACTAACTTATGGTTTGCATGCGATTCATTACAGGTATAGTCTTTTCGCATATCTAATCTGCTAACATTCATGAACTTTAAAATTTAGTAAGAACGAAATTTTTGACTTCAACTCTAGAATTATAACTTCAGCTAAAAATAAATTGTTAGAATTTATCAAGTTATTAAAAAAATGAAGCCATATTCAGTGTGCTACACAAATTTAGATTCTTTCCTGAGTATAATAAATTTGAACGTCTTAGATAACATGAATTAGAATGCATTAAATATAACAAAGTAAGCTAAATCAGAGAGTACTATCAAACTTTTATAGTTCTTAAGATTCTTTTTCATATTTAATCAGCCGATATCAAATTAACCAACAAAAGCACCTACACACAATAAACAAATTCCTCCTCACTGAAAGACATTCAAAGTAAATATGAACTGAAGACCATAAAAAACTAAAAAAAGCAAAACAAATACAAATTTAAACATTTACACTGTTATCTAATTTCAAATGATTATAGGTATAACTGATCAACTTCTATATAAACCATGGCCTCATTGAGTCAGAATATTTGCCCTCTTCAAAAATAGCTAATACCAACTTGAGAAATGAAGAATTAAAAATAACAAACAACTCATTGAAAAAATTAACAAGATTCATGGATCAGAATATCAGCTCATTTCAAATGATGCACTGGAATATTTATTGCTTAATGCGACATTTTAAATCTCAGGCTACGTACGAAACCGTACATAAACTCATATATTTTTACATTCTTACACAGAAGTTAAAGTCCAATATATGCAAATTTTATTAGATAAAAAAATTCAACGCCAAACCTTGAAAATTCTGAAAACATGAATGAAAAGTTTACGGACCTCACTGGTTTATCTAATGGAGACAAAGGAAATGAATTTGAATATCAGAATATCTTAAAGCAAAGAATTAAATCAACAAAACTTTATTGCTATTATTCGGACTATATTTTCATTGTTCTTCGGACTTATCTACTTCACTATGCAAATATATATACAGAACGGAAACTTCTTTAAAATTCCGCTATAATTATAAGTGAGACGAAATGATAGAGAATTACAAATAAAAATCATTTGGCGGTTTTAATCCAAGAATTTATGATTTTAAGAGTGTTTAGTGATGAAACCAGTAAGTCAGTTATTTTTGTACAATTATGTATAGCTCGTTGAGACATACTACATCTGAAAATCCTCAAAAGTGGTGCTATTAGCGGGGTCGTTCCAAGAGACCTGCGTATCAGGACTATCCATATGGACACCTTCCATTGACTGATCAGAAGTATTAATGATTGGCGGAGTCGAACAATAAGCATTTATAGATGAAGAAATATGTCCTCGACCTGAAAATGACAAAACTTTTAAAAGTGAGATGTTTGGTTCTCAAATAAGAGTAAATATAAGTTTAATAATGACAAGACTTACAACTGAGAGTCTCAAAAAAAATATAAAACATTTAATACTTTGAGATTAAAATCCCACGCTTTTTCAATAGAGAAGAATTTATGCTAACCAAGAAAACAAACCTGGAGAGCATGCCAACCGTAGGTGATGCTTTTGTTGAGGTAAGTCGAACTGTTGAGTGAACATAGTTGCAAATGGATCGTCACTTATTGAAAGTCCAGAGAGATCCTAATAAAAATTACGACATAACCAACACTTGACAAAATACACAGGTTCAGTAAGCACATACTTGTGTACAAGAATGATTGCAATTTAAATGTTTGTTCGAAAAAGATTAAAAAAAACAAACTTCTGGCCATGCGTCTTCTGAATATTCCATACTACTTGATAAGTTCACATTATTCTCTGATGATCCTTCGCGACCATATATAACAGGACCTGTTAGATGATGATTAGTCGACATTTCTTGCTGAGATGTTGACACAGCCTGATTAGTAATGAAGTACAATAAGTGTGCACATGAAACATTTTGAAAGAGTGAGTCGATACAGCATATAAGAATATGCTCAAAATAATGTGACTTAGAATATTAGAAAAAATAATCGACAAAAAATCCAAAAGTACTAGCAATAAATAAGCAAGAACTGTTGAGATAATCGTACATCGAAATAAAACTGCAAGTCGTTGATTAAAAAACTAACATCCATTTTAACAAATTTTATATCTTAACACTAACTAATAACTAGCATCTATTTTTTTTCCAATACTTACTTGCTGTTGTACTTGGATATCAGCACCTTCCATGTTAGAATATGAAGTAAGAGATGTAGATGTTGATAAAGAAGTTTGATGTGATAATGCAGGATACTGAGGGGTCACTGATGAAGCTGATGGCATGGTATTATAAGTACTGTTTGTACCATATGGATTTTGAGCATACTGAGTTTGAGGAGATGAGTAGCCATTGTATGGTATATTAACATGTCCTTCTGGATGCGTAGAATGCAACAGTGAACGGTGATTGGAAGAAGGTATTGGACAATTCTGATACAAGAGCGATGGATTCCCACCTTGCATGCTGCGCTCATATGCCTGCTTAGCATATGTAGCTAAAATAATTCCAAACAACTGATCAGTATTTTTCAAATAAAAGCTTTAACTTAATTACAGAAACAACTTAATCATATCTGCATGTAATATGAAAAAAAAGATATTTAAAGTTGGTCAGTCTCGATTTTTATTGTCCAACATAAGATGTTTCAAAAAATAACTACAAAACATATGTCCAACTGAAATATACCAATTTAATCCCAAATAGCTATCATGTTACTATAAACTAACCGAAAGGTTGATTTCGACTTTGTGAATAATGATGTAAAGCTGCCATTAATCCACTATCAGCAGCATATAATGAAGCAAGCTGAAAATTTTGCATTCAAACTAAGTTAAATTAACAAAATATTTTCGATATAAAAACTTAAACTTTACTCATGCAACATACGAAATTTGAATACTAAAAAAGGAACTTTTTCTTAACTATAATGCTTATAAACATTTTGATCACCAGAATCCAACACATGTTATATTGCTAAAAAAATCATGCTAACTTCGGGATGTAATGAAAGTTCGTATATGAGACCTAGTGCACTTCTATCCAAATTTTCATCCTTCACATAATTTTGATACAAGCAAAAGACTGGGAGAAGTGCTGCGCAATCACCGTCTCGATCACGAAGCATCAAGAAGTCAGCTCTTCGAATGCAAAATGATATCTAAAAAAACACGTTTTGCTTCGAAAAATGAAAAAACAAGAAAGGACAACTGTCACACGAACTTGATTCAAGAGATGTGGGTCACGACACAAAAGCTGCAACGTAGACAATGATAATTGGACGAGATCTGCAACACGTACTTCCTCCACCATTTTCGTCTGCAAAAAGACCAACATTTATTTATAAGCTACCATATTTTACAATACACCATCTATTTGAAATTCGAAAACAAATCATGCTCGAAACTACAGAAATATTCTCAATGTTTTCTCATGGAAGTAAAGAAACGAAAACATTAAACATCACCTACAGAGCAATGAACAAATAACACAATTATAAATTTATTAATAAATTAGAAATAATCCGCAATTCGTAATTTCAAGGAGCAATGCTTTCCATATAAAAAATTACCGAAGGTAGTTGATCACAAGCAACTTTTAGAATCAGTACAATACGCTCTACAAAATTTGTTTCACAATCAGGTGTTTGTCTTAGGTGAATTTCACGAAAAACTGCAAGATTAGCATCTTGAAGAGCAGCTTTATTTAGAATCTAAAACTTAGTTATATTAGTTTTTCTTCATACAATCGGGAATGAAGGAAAGTGAGAGAAAGTTTTAACTCTTGTTCATTGATTACAATCAAACAAAAAATAAAGAGATAAATGGCATATTTTTGAAATTTTTTACACAAATGAAATAAATTACACATAAAATTTGAAGGTATTATACAGCTAAAATCTAAAACCTGAAGAGTTTGTTTCAAAATAGAAGGCCTCATTTCAGTAAGTTTTCGTAGTAAAAAATCTGCAGCATACTGTTGCTGCAGAACAGCTTTCTGTGCTTCAACCTGATGAGTATGTCCAACACACAAATGACGCAGTGTTGCTAAAGCACGTTCCTAAAATGAAAATAGATATAGCGTTACCGGATATTTTTTACATATAAATATGTCAGAGTCATAGTAATAGAAATATTCAATATATATAATGCTCTAAAGCATAATTCCTTCAACAACGATTTGTTAAAATTAGATAAATATATTTTCAAAAATAATTCATACTTTGATTCACAACATCAGTCATAGAAATAAAGAGTACTGATGGTAGTCCGGGCAAAAACAGGAAAATTCTTCTACTAAAATTACTTGTATATCTTCTACTCTTTGTTGTTGATTTGGAGTGTTAGCTGGTATATTATATGAGCTAATTAAAACACGATAAAGTGTAGCGATTCCACCTCGACTGAATAAAAACTCTTTATTCATTTGATTGTTGGCTAATAAATTAGATAAAATCCCTGTGCAGTATAAAATAACAATTGGATCCATTGCACCTAAAAATTAGCAAAAAAAAGTGTTTTAATTAGCGAGTCATATTCATATATATAATTTTTATTATGCAATAGAATGAAAGTACCTAAAAGTTGCAGAAGCTTATTAAGAAGCGGCGAAACGTCCATATCTTTAGTTGGTACATCAGACATATTCCGAATACATTCTAAAGTTGAAATAATTAGCCGCTGACTTGCATGTTCCAATTGTTTATGCAGTACATCATAACCACCACATTTTACTATAGCTTGAGGGTCCTAAAAAGTTTTAGAAAGTGAATTTTAGGTAATACTAGTATATTAAATATTCTTCAATGAACAGAAAAGAAAGTTAAAATTTTAATTTGCTAAATGACCGATGACTTGAGGTTTGTTCTTTTTTTTAAAGTAATATCATTTTTGATGGAACTTACCGCATTCGAGAAAATTTTTAGAAGTTGAGTAGTTCTCCACAGCAGACCTTCATAGCGTAAAACGCGCAATATATGCAACAGTTTAGATGGGCCATTTAACTGCAGAAAAAGAGCCTGAATATGCGAATATTTAAAACACAATACTACAGATTCTTTATGTGTATTTTTTTTGTCCTTTATGTTCTGTAAAAAATAAAATAATTAACGCTGGACATTTGCTTCATAGATGAAACACCATAAAAGAAAATTAATTTCTGATAATCTTTATAGTCTTAGTTTGAAATCAAATATTATTGAGAACTCTCTCTGATCAAAGATGATATTAGGTAATAAAAGTAGAATTCACTTTCGAAACATGAGCATCACGATAACATTTTGAGAGAGCAAATATTCAATCATTTTAAGCTCTACTAACCCTCTGCGACTGACTTTTGTCACAAAGTAGACGTACACATTCAACGATTACTGAAAGGAGTTTTTCGTTACTTTCACGATCAAGAAATTGTGTTAGGGCTTGTAATGCTCCATTAGCACGGGCCACTTCAATATTATGTCCATCAGCTGACTTTACTGCAATTATCGTATGAAACGTCAAAATTGCGTAGCGTAAAGCTGAACCACCGCTAAAAAATAGAAATAGTTATAATTTATAAGCTCCAATCGCGTGAAGTATGATTGAAGATGATGCAAAATGTGAGCATAAAACCCCTAAACAATAACAAAATAACTAAACTGACAGAAAATAAATGGTAGGTTAAGCTAAACACTTACGTAAATTTAATATGCTGAATTATATCAATCAACAATGATCCTTTAGTTTGATCATTTATTTTTAAAATGCTTTCAAGACCATCACGTCGTTCAGAAATATGAAACAAAGCACCAAGAGCTGGTTTAATAATCGCCTAGAAAGAAATAATTCTAACAAAAGAAATAAATTAACAAATAAACATGCCTTTGCTTTTAAAAAATTAAAGATTTCTTGAAATTTTAATCCCAAGACAAAGCGAATTAAACGATACCGGCTTGTGTGACTTAGTTCTCAACAAATCCTTCAAAGCAGTTATCACTTCAACTGCTCGTAAATAAGGTTCTGCATACAACGGTTCTTCTGAGTCTATTTTGGCAATAGTTTGTATTGTTGTCGCTGCACGCTGAACAACCACCTAAAAGAGAAACATTTTCTAAGACAAAAAATTATTTCAGAGATATCAATTTGCACTAAAGTAAATCCAAAAAAAAGTTTGACAAATGTTATTTAACAATTATATAGAGTTGAAATATGTTTGTAATATTAATAATTTTACTAATTACTGCTTATTTACAGATTATCGAACTTTAAATCGATTTTAAATCAAGCAACTGCTTTCCTACCATCAAGAATAATATTACTTAAAATAATAGAACAAACCTCATCAGCATCACTAAGTAAGTGTATAAGTTCAGGAACCGCGTTTCGTGTTTCGCCATCTTGTGGTCCACGTCCTAAATCTGATGGTATATTTTCAAATTTGATTTGCTGCTGATCAGTTAACTCGATTCTTGAATGAGCATCATCGGACATAGTTGATATTTGTGAACCAGCTCGTAAGGAGCTGACTGATAACATCGATGGTGCCTAAAAGATTAAAGCTTTTTCTTGTTATTCAATAAAACTCATGAAATATTAAATGACTTCAGACTTAATTGTGAATGATGAAAGATAGCTGCCACACTAAGCACATATCATTTATATAGCCTTACATTTAAAAGTAAAATCATAAAAAGAAAAGTATGTATAACTAGATGAAATTAGTAATAGATAGATGAAAGTCAATGTACCGAGCTATGATTCATGGAATGAACTCCACTATCAAAGTTGTTGGACCACATCTGTACACGGAATATGGCATTAGTGGCACTGGAAGGAGCTGCAGGAGGGATATCAGTGCTGGCTATAGAAGAAGATTGTTCTGATTGCTGCTGCTGCTGGTAATGAGGAACTGATGGATGGGAAGGAAGAAGAGGCATTTGAGCGGAACGTGTAGGCATTTGTGAAGAAACTGGACCTGCTTGGACCTGAGTAGTTGAAGTAAGACGCGTGGACGTGCAGCTTGGATCGTACAGAGGCTGCTGATGAGTAAGTGTAGGCCTTCCAGGTCCCGATTTTGGCGAAACCATTGCGCCTACATTAAAATGGCGACTTTCGGTAACTGCCTGGATTGCATTCGGGATCGGTTCAGCCGGTGAGCAATGAGGTACATAATCCTATAATTTACACTTCTGATGTTTGATAGTTTTCGTAATTACCACTATTAACTAAGAGCTAAACATGTGCAGTCTAAAAATATGCTTAACATTAACTTACGTGAGGTGAACTATTCATAGTGCTAATCTTATTACCCGACCTCCAAACCTGAAAAGTGTAAATAGGGTAAAAAAAATGACAAAATATCATTAACAAGGATCCGTCCCATGCTTAATGAGAGAAGGAATAAAATGTAAGCAAGCAATAGAATGTATTATTTCTTGCCGAACCCAAACTTTTATCTAATTGAAATTTAAAAAAAAGTAATGGTAATTTTAAATTAATAGCAGTGCCCGGCAATGATCACTGTCACTTCCGATGTGATAAGTTTTCATACGGTGATGATACGTCCTTGACACTATATTTTTACACAATAAAGTGATCCGTTTAATTCATATCATCATTATCACAACTTTTGTTGCAATCCCCCGCCGGTTTTTTTCCTTGGCTTTGTTTGTTGAACAACATAAGTAACAAAATAAAAATGGCAATACTTATAATTTACAATCTATTCTCTTGTGTCATTGTTTCAATGTGTTAAAAGTGATCAAATAATTGTGTCATTTAAATTCTCAGTTCTATTAATATGATATCACACCTTTTCGGCGAATGTTTGAAGCTGTGATGCAAGTGATACACACGTATACTAATTCTCACAAGTGAATATCAGAATCCATCATCAAATATAATGCAATGATAAATTATCATTATTAATATCAAAATTTTTCCTGAAGTTCAGCAGGAAAATAAATAAATGCAACGAACGTTCATGACAATGCAATTTTTACTCTCTTAATGGCAAAAGAGATGACGAAGATGGGTAATAAATAATTTAAGTGAAAAAATTTTCGAGACAAGAGGCAGATTGTGACTAAAAAGCAGCAACTGCTCAGTGACAAATAGATGCATACAATTCTAAGCTGTATTGCCTGCAATAAATCAAACATCGGTGGAAAGTTGTGAAGCTTATAACCGCGCACTGCTCATGTCCCCCAAATGTCAAGAATCGAACTCAATCACATTCATTCTTCGCTATACTTGTTCTTATCATTTGCAAAAATTTCTGAACAAACCAAACTAAAATATTTGTTAGATACAAATACTTGTCTTGTCTCTACAACTAGAAAAACTACTCTTCATACAAACTGCAACCCATTTAAATCCCTCTAAATATGTCTATCATCTTGCAACACTACCAACAGTATGTATTAACAGTAACAGTAGAACATGTTTTTTTAATGCATTTAAAGCATTTAAGTGAGTGACAATGCATAATAGTACTTGGTTTGTTTATTTTTTAATAATAGTATTGCTTATTATTGAACTCCTGATTTTCAAACTATTCATGTATCAAAAGTTGGAGTTCAAAAACAACAGTACTACTATGAAAAAAACCTTAAAATTAGGAGGGAAGTGCTACTCTAGAATGAAGAAAGCGTTTAAAGAACCAAAATGAACAAAAGTATAATCATAAAGCAGGAACAGATGGACAAGCTTACTCATCAAGACAATGAACGGATAAACAACGAATAGTGCGAATAAATGAAGCATTTCTTATCGCAAGACCAACACTTGCATACGATAAAAGGAATTATGAGATTATCGTACTAAACAATAGCCTTTGAGCTTACCCTTACTCACAAGGTCAATATGACTACAGTAAAGAGCCTGCGCAAGTTATTTTACCCGTTACAAATGTGTTCAATTCCTTCAGCATCTCAATATAAAATATGAACTCAATTGCAACATTCACTATAAGGTAGCATGCATATCATACAATACTACTCTTCGCTGTACACTACAAAAATAAACAATAAACAACATCAGTAGCAATAACAATTATACATAAACTGCTTTGCTTTGTTCTATCTAATATTTCAACGGTATCCATCTCATCTTTCTTGCCGAATATGAAGTAGAAAAAACAAAAATCATTCACTCACTCATTCATTCATTCATTCATTCATTCACTCAATTCACTTCGATTCAATTGCTGCTGCAGTTAGTTAGTATTTTCCTGCAAAATAAATACATACGTACTAATATACACGCACATACACACACAGATACACTGAACTGAAACGTATTGAGTGTGATGACAAAGGAAAGAACAGTTAGTTTACAAAGAGTAACACGCAATACACACACATACACACACATACATACACATACACACACATACACATACACACACACGCACATTAACACTTTAAAGAAAAGCAATTAAATGAATAAAAAAGGTATGTTGTCGTTGTTGTCTTCTTTTATTTTATTTTGCCCTGCCCTGCTTTGCCTTGCCTTACCTTGCCCAGTCTTGTCTTTTTTCTGAATAATGTTAATGTGAGCTATCAATATTTTTACACAAATAATGCTGCATCAGATTACACCGTTCATTTATTTATTTAATTATTTATTCCCTTGTTAATCTATTAATTGACTATAATTGATCTATTTATTTATTTGTTCATCTAATTATATTTTATTAACTTACAAAATAGAATCTACATCATACAAAAAACACTGCTGCTTAACAAATAAAATTTTGTATCCTTCACTAGCTAACTTTGCACATCCACACACTATATTATATAGACAGAATGCCTTTTCTGCTGATAAGCAAAATTGTCATAAAATTATAGCAAACAAGCACACATATTTACACACATATCTGATGCATTAATTCTTCATTCTATGTATTTTTATTATTGCATACAGTCACAATCATAATTCGTTGATAACTTCATTCTACATACTCCTCAATTCATACTCTTTTCTATTCTCCATGAACGTTGCTGAAGCAAACAGAACAATAAAAGATGAATTTGGAATTCTTTGTGCAAATCACATACAAACCATACCTGCGTTTCAAATATCTAGCCACATTTTTCACATATCATTAAAAATTAAAACTGCTTATCACATATCATATTTGCTATTATTCACTCATTTCCTACTCACTTTACAAACTGAAACTCTCAGCATACTCTCAATGAATTATTTATCACTGCATTTAAAATTCTTACACATTTGTTCATTTCATTTGCCTCATACCTCATTTGCATATTACTGCTTGCTTCCAGGAAATTTTACACCCAAATGCTTGTCTATCCTGAAACGGCATGATAATTTAGCCCTAAAAAAGGTTATGGCAAAAAAGGAAAAAAAATAACTGCAAAAGCCCGCCGAATTGCAAAAAATAAAAAGAATTCCGCCTCTAATAATTCAGCTTGCATGCACAACAAAAATATGCATTAGCGGTGTTGTGGCGAATCTCTGTCTACAATCAGCTTTCATTTTTCTATTACTTTCATCTATGATATTTCCATTTACAGATTGAATAATTTACAATACAAGAAGCATACAAAAAAATTTACATCCTTTTTTACAAAAATGTAGTCACGACAAAAGAATAAGCATGAAACACGTTTCCTTCATACATAATATCTTATACTTTCATTATGAAAACAACTCTATAAATGAAATTGCATGCATTCAATTAGCACCCTTGGCTATATTCAATTAATCGTAAACTTTGACATAAACAACCAACTACTAACTCGTAAAAATTAACGTATTTATTGAATATTGTAGATGAATGTCAATGATTAATAAAATGCCGTACACGTATCACATAAGCAACAGTCAATACATTATTACTGATATATAACTGCTTATTATTTCTAAAAAATATTATATATAAATAGGATCTGGACTGATTTTAAACAACGAATATCAGCACAATAGCTGAAACGATCAAAACTATAGAGCAACGAAGTAAAGCAAATAAACAAGCATATTGCTCATTTCCTTCCCTCAGAAACACAAACAAAAGAGTAGAATTTTAATAAAGATGTTTTAGACAAACTAGCAATAATCTTATGAAAATTCATGTAACACACCAGTGATAAGGTAATTACTAATCAACAATGCAATTATGAGTAAATAATTTACCTCAATCCAATAAATTTTCTAGCAAACTTGTTTTCGTCTCACATCCAACCATTTAAATTACTTCACATCAGAAATGATTAGCAAAGTAGAGTCAATTACACATTAAAGACACCTGTCTGTGTGAGTATTGTGAAAAGCTAATAAGTAAGTTTAAAAAAATAAAAATTTTTTGGCACAATTATAAAAATCATCACTCTCCACTACACGTCGTATATATACTGAATATGTATTTTCAGACAAGAAATCAGAAGAAATAATAGCACAGAATTTCATTTTTTTTGATCATTTTTCTTCTAATAATACCAGCGATATAAAGAAAGTATACAATAAAAAAATAGAAAATAATAATAATCCTATTCTATTCCAATATTTTTCATGTACTGGCTAGCCAAAAAATATCTCGTTTATAATTTATAATTATTTTTCTTCTCGAGCTTTGCATCAAAGCATTCATCCACTCATTACTCCACTCAGTAATTTGCATATGGTTAAATGGTAACAGCAAAGATTGCAGATAAAGAAATGCACTATTTCCGCAATTATTTACAAGTTAAATCAAAAAAAAGAAAGAAAAAGAAGAAAAAATATGTAAAAGAAATGAGTGCGATATGGCTTGCAAGGGTTGCAATAGTAGTAGCATTAATGCATAATTTTAGGAAAGTAAGCAAGAGCTGCATCGGTTAGGTAGGTAGCAGTTATGGATGAGGATGATGAGTTAACGGAGTTAAAGTTTTCTGCTGGGAGCAGTTAAGGATGAAGAAGGAAGGGGCAGGCACGCGAAACTTCTCAGCAATATATGAGCACAAAAGACGTAAATCAGTTTAAAGAAGCAAATGAACACAGCACGTTTTCAATTGCTACACATAATCCACGAACTTGCTCCTACAATCTATTCAATTGCCAGCTTGCTATTACCAGATTACAAATATACTCTAATCATCTTCAACAGTCCATAAACATTATAATAAAATCACACTTACTCACTGCATAACTTCATAATTGTAATCTATATTTTTACTAAATAATAACTAAACAACAATTACCTATCTGATTTTACATAATTATAATAGTAATAATAATAATAGCAATAATAATAGTAATAGTAATAATAATAGTAATAATAATAA